TTTGTGCTCTTTGCTGAATTCAAGTGCTTCACACTGGATCTCACAGCACTGTTTAGTGTCGTGTGACCGTGACTCATCAGCGAGTATGCTGCTGTTTGAACTTTGAGCTGAGCGGATAAATGTTCCGTGTGACGCGCTTCAAATGAGTAGCATTGTTTTGCTCCCTTTATGGCACATAAACATTATATTGAACATTTATCAAACTCTTGTTATCGTTTTATCGAGGAATATTATACCGCGGTAACTATCGTTATTGTTTTATCGCCCAGCCCTTATTACCCTCTTGCCTGTTTAAGTTTTTGTGCTCATTGAAAATTTGTACTTGTAAAAAGTTGTCTTGCTTCTGTAGTTAGCTTGTAAAAATGAAATTCTGTGAACGTAGCTCAAAGATGCGAAACGTGGCCTGGCGGGAAATGCATGTACTCTGACACGGTGTGTGGAATTGCTGATGTTATCAGATACAAGGCAAAATCCCATTAAAAATAATCATAAAATGTATGTATGCAGGTTTAAATTGCAGAATGAAAGTTTAATTTATTCTAATTTCTTCTCAGCAAGACCTCAGTAAGAAGCATCCTTTCAGCAGCACTAGAAAAACTTCAGGGCTCAACAATAAGGACTGCCCGATGGCCCAGGGCCAGCGTGAAAGACGTTCGGGACAGTAGATGGATTTGTCACTTGTCCGATCGGGCCACTGCAGCGTTGTCACGACATTTTATCATTTGCATGTGTTTTTAAGACTTGTTAATTAAAAAATTCAAGCGATTAAAAAGCATTTGGGCGTGAAAGACAACTCCTTTCAGTACTCGGTCAATGTGTTCTGTGTGAACAGCGCGCACACAGACTCTGACACGCGTGAGCCCCCTGAACGGGCAAATACATACAAAAGTATGTAAAAATACCCGTCCTGGCAAGTAACTTTGTAGCTTTAACAATGATTAATCTATATTGAATTTATACACTGGAGTACAGATGCACCGATCTACCGGACATTTTTTGTTCAGACTATCTTCTGTTCCGTGCTTGCACACAAACTGCACTGCAATCATTTTCCCAATGGCCATTTGTGTGGAAATATTACGTTGTTATTATTATAATTAGTCTGTAAACGGCCATTAACAGAGGCCAGGGTCTATGAAGTCGGACACAAAGAGGACAAACGAAATATAGGAAGAAAATCCAAACATTGAATTTTATATGAGTGTTTCTGAGAGGAATGGAACTGACTGTTTTCAGAAATGGCATTTTCTTTTCATTTTGTCTCTGTATAATGCATTTAAATTCGTGTTAATACGTGCAGCGCTGCTGTGTTTACAGCGGTAACTAAGGAAACGCTGTATTACTGTTCCATAAGCGCCGCCTGCTGTCAGAGAGTGAATCTGCGTCTCATTCAACCCACCTGCTGTTTCTGTTTCATACAGATGTTTTATGTAGCATAATTTCACATAGCTAAAGTCAGGTTATTTTGTTTTTGCTTCAGATTTTGAAATTATACAGTCTAATATAAA